GAAAATGGGCTCATACAGCTTATATTTAACTATCAGTATACTATATATTACATTGCCTTTAGTTGGTAAACACCAGTTCAGAAAATTTGAATGTTAATGTACTAAATTTATTACATATGTGACTCAGTCAAATTTTTTTTTTTTTTTTTATGGAGTCAAAATACGGTTTGTATGGATACACGGTGTCCCGCCTTCAGGTTTAAGGGTTTTCCATTGTCTCATTTTTAAAAATTATTACCTTTATGTAGCAGAGAAACTTCAGTCTCTGACCTTCTTTTTTTTAAAGATTTTATTTATTTATTTGAGAGAGAGAGAATGGGAGAGAGCACACAAGAGGGGTTAGGGTCAGAGGGAGAAGCAGACTCCCTGCCGAGCAGGGAGCCCGATGCGGGACTCGATCCAGGAACTCCAGGATCATGACCTGAGCTGAAGGCAGTTGCTTAACCAACTGAGCCACCCAGGCACCCCAGTCTCTGACCTTCTTAATATGGCTAGAGCTTAAAAGATGGATATACCTGTTAAGCCTCACTCTTAATGAAATCAGAAGAGAAGTCAGGACGTAAGAGGAATGAATGCCTAGGAAGGCACACTTAGTAATACTTCCACGAGGCTCATCTCCACCTCTCAGGAATATCTCCTGATTAATAGCAGGACAGATACTTTTATCTACCTGATAATTTGTATTCTTAAATATGATTGTTTAAAGACAAGTTATGTTATCATGAACATTAGATCTCTTTCTTTTCTCCTCAATCAAATAAGGACTATTGCAAATTGAGGAAATGTATAGACTTGAATTAGATTTCCCTCATTTTCCTAGATTCAACACTTGAATTCAAATGTTTTATTTCCCAGCGGTTGGGGAGGTCAGACAGGATGAATCTAAGAATGGACATTTGTAGAAAAAATGAGAAAATGAGTTCCTCCTTTTCTCCTACTGTCCTGGCAATGCATTCTATATAAAAAATGCAAACAAACAGGGAAAGACCTGCTTGATTATTTATAAATCATCAGCATTTTTATTTTACCCTAACTAATTTTTCTCCCCCACAGAACCACAACTTGAACTTGAGATTTAATTAGAAAATGTATCTCTGTAATCAGAGGACATTCCACTCTAACAGGCAGGAATATTCTAGACAATGATCTTCATGTAAACCTGTTTATCTGTGACACAAATTTAAAAAACACTTTCTAAGTTCCTAATTTTGTCAAAGGTATATATACCTCTTTTCAAAATTGAAGGTAACCTCTTACCAATTCTTTGTTGCTTTTTATCTGTGTACTTACTATGTTTTGATCATTTTTATGTGATATTACCACTCTGATACTAAAACAGAGTAAATACATATTGATCACCTGGTGTAATATGATGTGATTTTTGAAAAGCTGTTTATTTTCTCCCTTTTAAGTGACAACTCCGTTTAAAGATCAAACTTAATTTTATTTCATAAGTATTTTGGGGAACTGAAAAAGAATGGCAATCTGGCACTTCTAGTTTAAAAACCCATCTATTGCTGATCTAAACTCTTTTTAAAAACTGTCAAAGGTACTTAATCATTGTGATTGGCTTGATGATCCTTGCCAAGTCACTTCCTTCCTTAATGTGTATGTGAGAAGATCAATGGACTGCAAGAAGTAAAAAAAAAAAATAATATGAAAGGGGGTTGGGCTGGTGGTAGTAATTAACTGACAAATAAAAAATTAAAAAAAGATTTTTGTATGTGTACACACATATTTTAAAAATTGATCACCTTTAAATTAATTTATAATCTTTGATTTTCTATAATTCTACAGGTAAATTGATATACAAATTATATTTTTGTTATTAGAATATTTTAAAACAAGCACCTTTGGGTGCTAGCATAAGACAGTACAAGTGGGCAAGCATATTGATTCAGAAATTGGATATTATAGGTTCATAGTTCATCTTAGTTATATTACATCTGGCAAGGCAAGATAGTTAACTTTGTGTATCAGTTCCTTCAATCATAAAATGAGGATATTTATAGTACTTGTCTTAGCAAGCTGTAATGAGATTGAGTAAGATATGCCATGTAAACATTACAGAATGCTGGGCATACAGTAAGCACTTAATGTTTGCTATTATGTTAGCTATTTTTTAAGTCCTCTTTTTCTAACAGTTTTAAGGGAATCTGTGTAAAACTGTGCTGCTTTCCTACAAATTAGGTGATATAAATGATTTCTTCCTCCCAAATTTAGACATTGTATTTTTCCTTCTGGAGAAATTGAGGGATTTCTCATCCAGAATTTTGGCTGATAATGTTATGTTTCTGGAATACCTTTGGAAATGCTTCCTTGGAGAGGAGGCTGCTTAGCATGAAAGACAAAAGTGTGATCCAGCACTAAATGTATTAGATTAAATGTCAGTACTCCTGTTGATGACTTTGACCAAACCACTTCATTTCTCCATGCCTTAACTATCCTCATCATATAAAATATGACTTCCCATGTCTGGGAATCCAGAAAATGTGGGTAAAACAATGGTTCCTGACTTGTGGTGAGCTCTAAAAACTAAGAACTGCAGTATTGTTCAATGTATTATGAGCTGCTAGATAAATCTTTTAACTTCACATTGGAATGATAGGCAGGATTCATTTAGGGAAACATAATAATTGAATTATTGGAGTAGCATGTTTGAAAATAAACATCGGAAATTGATATCTGAGTAGCAGTCATGATGGGCCCATAGTGAAAGTTTATTTTTGCATAATAATTCCTGTTAAAATACTTCTGACTTTTGAGAAATAAAAGTTTTTTGGTTTAGAGTCCTCCTGTCTGGATATATAGCCATGTGTTCAAACTGATTGCATACACCCAAGATTTTTGTTTTATTTTAATAAAATGCATATTCAGTTAAAGTGATTAACCTCTGCACACTCAGTAAGGAGGGTTTTGACAAGTGTCTTAAGTCCAAGGACCTGTTTGCATCTAACTCCTTGTTCAATCCAGCATAGGCAACAACAACAGCCACACACCCTGACATCTTGACGAAAACCAGTGCCAGGGCCGCTACCAAGGTGTCTCAGCAAGCTAAAGACGTTTTTTTTAGCGCTGATCTCCCCAATTGCGTTCTAGTCCCAACCCTGCCACCCGCTCCCCTTCGAAATCTGCATATTCGGACAATAGCAGAAAGCACTGGTGGGAAGAAACAATATTCTGCCACACCGCCCTTAACGTACCTCTCCGAATTTAATGAGGTCGATTGGGTATCCACAGCTTCTGCCTCTTCCAAGTAAGGCTCCTTACCCAGAAGAGAAATCCCTCTCTAGTACACACACGTCTGAACACGTGCATGCACAGGCATATATACTGCACAAACACATTTGGGGAAACACCCACGCATAAAAAAATCACACCTTCCCGCATCTTCCATAAACACACACTCTTACCCTTCACAACTGCACACACACACACACACGCACATACTCTTGGGGGACTCACAGACCCACACAAAATGCCACGTACCCGAAGAGCTTAGAATCCTTCCTATGCCCGCAGGTTGAGCCCACTCAACATGCACCCCTATAGAGACACTTGCAGTGTGCCCACTTCCCGGAGCAGAATTCCCTCCAGATGGAACAACCTTGCTCCCCCTGAGCCGGCAGTTTCGCGTTGTGCCCAGGGACGAAAGCTGACCAGGGTGATCTTGGGGTGCACATGGGACGGGAGCCATCATTTGTGGACAATGTGGAGAGATGCTAACTCAAATTGGGCAGTCCTCTTGACCAAGCCCTGCGGATAGATGCTAATCCCCTGATAGCCTTCAGCAAACAAATGGAGCCAGGAACCGTCGCAATTATCTATTCCATAACCAGTGCTGCAGCCTTCCCTCCCTCCCCCCAGATGGGATGAGATTCCAGAAAAGTCAGATCACCAATCCGGCGCCTGATCTAAGGAACTTGCGGTTTGTTAGATCTGGGCCAGGATCAGCCAAAAAAGATTAAGAGATCGACACACAGGAGCAAAACGCGCTTGTCTCGGGACTCAGCTCCCTTACACCGTGGGATGAAGGAAATAGGATCCTTAATAGATGTGAAAAAGCAGCGAGTGACTGAGCGATGGCCAGTAGATGGCGCAAGAACTCTTCCCTTGTACAGTGTTAACCCTTGAGTGGTGGGTGGAGCGGCCAAGTCCAGACGTATAGATATATACATTTTACGTTTTGAAAGAAACCCTCCATTTACATATTTGGGACTGATTCAGAATTAAGACAAATGAGTTTGTTCTAGATAACTACCACAGATAAAGTAGTTTAACAGTAGCACACAGTAGCTGAAAAGCGGCTGGGGAGGATGAAAGGGCGAACTATTTGGGGAAATGACTGGCTCCCTCTCCACCTCACCCCCGCCCTGGTCACGGATAAAATCGGTTTACCGAATCATGGAAACCTGATTATGGGTTTACACGTAGGTATTTGAATATGTAAATTCATGTGTGCAAATAAATTCTTCTCTGTGATCTTCTTTTTCAATTAAATCACAGGATAATAAATGCGAGACGCCTGCCTGAAATATACTGCAACTACAGTAGTAACACATGTCCCCTTATAAGGACGTGGGCATCGATGGAGCCCGATTCATTATCGCATGGTTTCCCCAAAAGCAACACAGATCCTCCGATTAAAATATTCCTCTAACATGTTTCTGTATTCACAAGCTGCATCGGAGAGCTCACTAACATATTTCTCTGGCTGTTTTTACAGGCGGAATTGGTCTATTCGGGGGGGAAAAATAAACCAAGCCCCTTAATTTCAAATAGTGTGGGGAGTTTGTCTGAGAGCCGGAGCTGGGCTTCAAGAAGCCCACTAGTGGTTTCTGGTGGTTGCTATAACGAGCTAGAATTGAGGTAGATTTTGGTGTGGGGGGGTGGGTAGCACAGGAAAAGACAGAATCCAGAGTAGCAGAGACTTTGTGCCCCCGTTGGAGAGATGGTTGAGTCCTCGTCAAGGTTGCTGTGGTATCCCAGAAACACCATTCACTCCGAGCTGTGACCGCGCACCAACAACAGCAACAACTCCACTGCGCCGGGCTGAGGAGCAGGAATTAGGAGCTCGCGAATAATATGAAAGGGATCCGCAAAGGGGAAAGCCGAGCAAAGGAATCCAAACCCCGGGAGCCTGGCACGAGAAGATGCGCTAAATGTGGCCGCCCAGACTTCATCCTGATGAAGAAAATGGGGATTAAAAGTGGATTTACGTTTTGGAATCTCGTCTTTTTATTGACGGTGTCTTGTGTGAAAGGTAGGTCTGCTTTCGGGGTCCCCTCTGCCTTGGATGGAGGTGAGCTGACTTGTCGCCGGAAAAAAGGCTGGTAGATTACTTTGCAATTTGCACCGATAAAATAATGATAATAATACTGAAGAAGGAGTTGATTCACAGCTCTTTCGCCCCCCACCCCCAGATAGGAAATGCATTTTGCTTGCCAGATTTGGCATTCAATGCAGTGATTGAGCTTGTGCTCAATAAATATTCTTGCAGTATGCTCAAACGAATACGTGAGTTGGTTCGTATAGCCTCTAACTAGTGGATATCCAGGCAGAATTCCTCTGCAAGACTTTACTTGGTGGTGAGGATTATCTTGATTTCTAGTCAAACCAGTGGGATTTGATGCTTTGGCTAGAATATGTATATTAAAGACACTCGTGTAAATGCTTTTTAACCCTTTCAGGTAGGGAAGTTATTGATATGCTAGGAATGTGCTGATGTTAAATGCATTCGGGTACAGGGGTCTTCCAAGCATCCCCTCACTAACATGATGTCTTAATGCATATGTGAATTTTTACTACGTGGGCTCTTATGCGTTGATAAATTGTATGGGAGCTTCCCTGGTAGAGGTTTAGCTTAAAATGAGGCTTTACAAGGTCTGATACGCCGCGAAGTGTAAGGATCCACCTTTGGGGATGAATGAAGGTAGGAGGAAAGTCATTAGCTGACGACCTAAAAGAAAATCCCCAGCAAGTCTTAGCGTTCAGACAGGTAGAGTGAGTGTCACATGCACGGACGAGGGGAGGGGGTGGGTGAGATGTAAAATGTATTTCTAAGCAAGAAAGCAAGGGACAGTCAGAATCATTGGAAGAAAAGCTGTCCTCTGGGAAAAAATAGATCCCCAGGTCTGTTCCACAACTTCTCCTGCACCCTGATGCCCATTAATTGCTGCAAAGAATACTCAGGAGGTGTTTATGACTCATGACATAATTTTTTAAAAATCACCTCCCCATACTCATGGCAGCTCAAATAGATGCGATGGATGTCGCTTTCAGTGAAGCTAGTTTCCAATCCCGGGTGTCTGTGTGTCCGGGGTGAGGGTGGAGGGTGGGTGGTGGGGGGTGTTTTGGCCCAGGCGCGCTAAGGCTGTCAACACAAACTGGACGCTTCTTCCTTTGTAAAGGAGTGCCTCTCTGAACCGCAATCGGGCCGCGTCTCTATGAAACAGTTTATTGTCCAGCTTGCAGCTGGCTGTCCCCCCACAGAAGGCAGTACATTTGCATTCAGTGGAAATGATAATTCATGTTTTGGGTGGAGGGAGCTGGAGGGGTTACCTCTCATTCTATTAGGAGCAAGGATGGGTGACTTGTCTCGAATTTTAATTTACATCCCTAAATGCCAAGAAGTCGCCTCTGGTGTCTGTGGCAGCAACTGTCTTGTAATCCCAACCTGATCCTTAAAGCTTGATTTTTTTTTTCCCCCTGGAGCCTCAGCTCAGCTCTAAGGCAAAACGCCTGTCCTAAGCAGGGTAACTACACTGCCTGGTGCACAAAAAGCGTCTCGAGTTGCTTACGATGGGTTCGTTTTTCGTCGCCGGCTCGAAGTGCGAGGAGCCTCACATTTATGCTTAGTCCGCCTGCCACTGGGAGTCGGTGGTTAATGGATGGCCCTGGGGCTGACTGCTAGACAAGCGCTCGGCGTGGGGGAGGCTCAGGGAGCCAGCAACAGCTCCTGGCAAGAAAAATGTTGGGGTGGCTCCTGCTAGAGGATGACCGGGGTTAAGTGCGAGTTTTCATGTGATACCTGTTGAGCCAAAACACATTCGAGGGGCAGATGGGGGGAGGGAGTCTCCAAAGCCGGGAGAGCACGCCAGCCTGACAAACACTGAACAGCGTTGCCTGCAATTACAGACAGGCAGCGCGCACCTACCGTATTTTCTGAATAAGACCCGCCGCTGAAAGCAAGGGCGCGTTAATATGGTTTAAATGGCACCAGAAATGGGACCCCTCTCTTCTACTCACAGCTCCTGGACTTTGGGCTGAGACCACTGGTCTCCACGGAGTATATTTCAGTTTGAGGGACATTGAGAAGAGTGTGTCACACTGCTTTGGTCCCGTTTAAAATCAATTTTTACGGAACTTAAAAAACATTTTAATGGTAATAAGGTTCTTCTTTGTCACTTATCTGCCACTCGGAAGGTTTCTCCTATATTTTACAACTTGGAACGCTGTCCTCAAATTCTGAGAAACAAACTTACCTGGGCTGTATGCTTTAGACCTGTTCCCTAACGGTGGCTGGTGCCGGTCGTAACAGTTGCTTACTCTCCTTTCCCCTCTTCGTATTTTATTTTAATTTCAGTCTCAAGGCTTTCCTAAAACCGTGATTGCTGAAATGACTTAAATGGTGTTTCTCCCAATGTCTATGACCGCTTTTGTTTTCCACACTGTTTCTTCTGGACTCTCTGGCCCAAAGCAAAACTCAGAATGGAGAGTCGTTTTAAGAGCTTTGCAGGTCCTAATCTGGGTTAGCAGGAGTGTTCGGGAAGTCGGAGGTGCGCGGTTTTCCACGTAAACAGCTCAGGTCACAAGAATTCCACCTTCTGTTCGTACTTTTCATCCCTTCACCATCTCACCTCTGCCTACAACAGCAACGACAGAGAGGCTCAGTGGGAGGAAACGCCTCCGCGTAGAAGACAAAGTGGCCTTAGTAGGTAGTAGGCCTGAACTGCTCCAATGGGGTTGAAATGACAGCCAACCTTATCTGGCCATTTTATCTCCACGGTCAGCATCTCAAAAGGTGGCCGACAGAGGACTCCAAATTGGGGTGGGGAGCTGCTTAGACCTGATGCATGCCTATTTTAAGCTGTGACACACACACGCGCGCGCGCGCACACACACACACACACACTCGCGCGCGCATTCGCGTACTTATGCGCGCGCGCCAGCGCAGGCGGGCAGGCAGGCAGGCAGGCAGTGGTTTTTGAAATGCAGCCTGCAGCTGCAGCGTGTCTGCTGAGGTTTCACTCACATAGAAACTGTGAATCTCCAAGTCGTGCTTAAACGTCCCGCCCACGTAAACATACACTCGGGGGTACTTTCCCACGCTCCATCTCGGGAGATCACACAGCCAGTGCAGGAGGTACCGCGCAAAGGGTGCGGGAACCTTGCGAAGGTTCAGAAAGCATTGACGTCGGTCGACAGGTGGGAGAGCCTGTCTTCCACACCCTGCCTCGGGTAGTGCTTCCTGGGGCTCGGGGTGGATCCCGGACTTCGAGAAGGATCCACGTTTCTGCGTGCTCTGGGATCCCAAGGAGATACTACTACTCCTGCCACAGAGCTCTTCTGGAACAGTGGGTTTCACACCCTCTTCCTCAGCTAAAAAGGGTCGCGTGTGACCCTGCGGGAGGAGAGCTGCCAGCGAACTCTGACGCATCTTTTGCCGTTGCCAGGGTGGCCGCGCCCGGAGGTCTCAGACCCCTGCGCGTCGCATCTTCGGGGACTGATACCCCCACTCCTCGCCCTCAGGTGACAGTCTGACCTGACCAAAAATATCTGGCTTGTCTTGAGGGAGCTTTTCAAAAGGGAATGGAATAAGTTAAAGTCTTCACAAAACAATAATAACAACAAACCAAAAAAACAAAAACAAAACCCACTTCCCCTTCATCGCCACCGTCAAAAGCCTTCCCTTGAGGTTAGCACGTTTGAGATACCTGCTGGGAGATAACATTTTGTGTTTGAGGCAGGGGTCCCGCTGCAGTTTGGGCAGGTATCCTTCCGTCTTTTTCCTTTGGGAATACTTTTTAATTTCCTCTGGAAGGCCAGACTCCACGAAATTTCAAAGAACCACCCGAGGTTGAAAACTGAGTGCCTGACTTGGCCTTGGCGCGTGTGTGTATTGCTGGGAGGAGGACATCCACATGGATTGACGCCGAGGGGCCTTCGGGAAGCCTCGAGAGGGCATGTGTGTGTCGGTGTGGGTGTCCGAGGCTGAAATGCGTGGCAGGTGAAGAGTACGTTTATGTTCCCCGCACTCTAGATGGTTGGCGGTGCCGTGGACCCTGCTGCCGCGCTATCCGGTGCGGGCATCGAGAAAACTCCCTTTCCCCAAGCTGGCCGCAGCGCTGCCCTCAAACAACTTCTCCTGTGATGGGCATTCCGGGAGTCTGAAAAACTCACTGCGGAACAAGTAATTGGGATTGCTGTCCCTCTACGACCCCTTCATTCCCCACCCCAGCTCTGTCGCTGGGGAAAAAGAAAAGCAGGAGGCAGGCCCAGGGTTCAAGCGCCACAAGGGCTTAGTTGGACCCTAGGGGAAAGGGCAGAAGAAACGAAACAGCATGGGGTCATCCCAGTCACCGTGCGGTCCTCTACCAGAGCCGCTGGAGTGGCCAGCTCAGGGTTGGAAGCCGGACGCGCACAGGGATTGCAGCACATTGCAGAATAATAATGAAGCAGAAAGAAAGATCGACTCAGGCATCAGGCGAATTCCCTTCTCCCTGAGCACGTCGCCTTCGGGGAGGCTTTGCACCACCGAGTTGCTAAGCCAACCCAATTTACCGCCCTGAAAAGGCTTGAACAGCTCCCAGAATTCTGAGCTGAACTTCCCCTGAACGGTTACCTTATTGAAATTGTTCTGAAATGTCATTTTGCAGCACCGTGTTTTCCCGAATCTTCTGGTGTTGGGGGATTGGCGGGGGGTGGGGGGCAGCTGCATCAAGCCTGTGTAGGAAGAGTGTGTGAGCAGAAATAATTAAGGAGCAGGGTTCAACCCCTTGAAAACCTGATGCCAGCTCCTTTGAGATCCTTCAGGGAGAAAAGACACAGAATTACCATAGGAGCATAGACTTAGTTGCAGTAGTTGTTATGACTCTTCATGATATTAATTAGCCTTACTATTTGTGGAATAGCTGAATAGATTTTGGGTATATACGTCTTTTTCTTGAACACACAATTTGGTATCTAAGGAAATGATGAAATAATAAAGCAATAGCAAATGGCATCTATACATGATCACAAGGGAGCTCTGAAAAAAGGTAG